TGTATTTATTGTATAATGTTATCTTCAAATTAGTTGCCCAGATTATTAGATATATGCATGCAAAATTGGAATAAGAAAGGAAAAAATTATAAGAAATTAAGAAGAGAAAAAAAGGACAAAATTGAAAAAAAAGAAGGGGAACTACCTGCTCAGGCCCCCCTCCTGTCCCTCTCTTGGACAGGAACTTTCTTTCTCTCAATAAATATATTCTGCTCATTAAAAAAAAACTGAAAAAAATTGGGAAAAAAGACCAAAATAAAAGTAAGCATTAACATTAATTAAATATTTTCATAAGCCAGCATAAATCCACAGTACAATTATCCAAACCATCCTGCTTACATACATTTTCCTGCAATCCCTCTCCTGTCCTCCTCACCTCAGTAATCCCTTCCTTTTGAACAGGTTCATTCTTTTTTCAAAGTATCTATTGTACTCTTCAAATTTTGTTTACCCTTTCAAGTTCTTACACTAAGGAGATAATATGATGTTTTCACTTGCAGGTCTGATCTATTTCGCTTAAAAGAATAGTCTCTAGACTATTCTAGACTAGAATAGTCTCCATTTACCGGGAAAAGCCTCAAGCTTATCCTTTTCTATACCTGACAAAATTACTCCTTTTTTTATCCATTCCTCAGTTGATGAACATTTGGGGTGCTTCCAAGATTTAGCTATGACAGGTTGCACTGCTATAAACTTGGTTGAATATAAGTTGCTGTGGTATGATGTGGTATGACGTTTTCCATTCTTCTAGAAAAATATCCAGGAGGGGATTAGTTGTGTTAAATTGGACCTGCAATCATAGGTTTTTGAGGAATTTCCACATTGATTTTCATAGTGGTTGTACCAGTCTGCTCCCACCAAGAGTGGAGAAGTGTTCCTTTCTCCACACGGCACCTCCAGGATTTGTTATTAGCTGATGTCTTGATATAGCCTGTCTTTCTGGGGTGAGGTAGAATATCCGTATTGCTTTAATTTACATTTCTTGAATGATCAATGATGTTGAACATTTTTTCATATTTTTATTTGCCATTTGTATTTCTTCATCTGTGAAGTGAACATTCATTTCAGATGCTCATTTTTGGACTGGGTCTTTGAATTTTGGGGGCCTGATTTTTTTTTAATATTTTATATGTTCTAGATAGAAGGTTTTTGTCAGAGGGGCAGTTGACTATAATTTTTTCCCAGTTTGTGGGTTTTCTTTTTAGTCTGTTGGTGATTTCTTTTGACATGCAGAAAAAGATGAGATTCTCTCTCAAAAAGATGAGATTCCAGTTGTTGATTCTTTGAAGTATGTTCCATTCAGTTTGGTTTTCGTTCATGAACTCTCTGCCTACCTCTGTGCCTTTAAGATTTCCAACTACCTTTTCCCATTAGGAGATTTAGTGTTTCCAAAATAATGTTAAATCTTTGGTCTATTCTGGCTATAGTTTGGTGCATGGTGATAGACATGGTCTAATTTTAGTCTTTAGCATGTGGAAAGCCAGTTTTTCCAACGCCATCTACTAAAGAGGCCCTGTTTTATCCGGTGAAACATGTTTGGCATCTTTGTCAAATATAAGGTGGCTAAGTGTGTTTGTAGTTGTGTTTGCATATTCTGATCTGTTTCATTGATCCTCAAGTCTATATTTTTGCCAGTGTCCTGCTGATTTCATCACAGTAGTTATGTAGTATAATTTCAGGTCAGGGATTATGATGCCTCTTGCCTTTCCTTTGTTGCCCAGGATTGCTTTTGTTATTCCAGGTCTCTTACGGTTCCAGATGAATATTTTCTCTACATCTCTGAGATATACTAGTGATATTTTCATTGGGATTACATTGAATCTGTAATTTTGGGAGTATGGCTATTTTCACAATATTGCTCCTATGTATCCAGGAGCAAGGAATATCTTTCCATTTACCAAGATACTCTTCAATCTCTTTTCTCAGAGTACTGTAATTTTATTCATTTTAATGAGAAAAAAATTAAAAAGCAATGAAACAATGTTAGTAGGACAATTATAATAATTGATACATTGCATATTATTGTCTTTGTAGGAGTTATTCAGAGGACAAGATGCAGACATGATATCTTGTCTAAAACAATTTAGGACAAACCTTTCTTCTCAATGAATGAACTGAGAGAAAACAGCTGTATATCTATCCTAACTATCTTGTGTATGCATATATATTTTTTATTACAAAATGGTCCTTTATTTATATCCCCCTTTTTTTGTTTTGTTTTGTCAGAGATGGGTGTTCCACTGCAATTAGACAAGCTGTATTTGGAGAAATCTTTAAAGGATCTTTTCATATTTGATTCCAGACCAAAGACTGTAGGAACTTGAATTCAGCAAACTAACCCAATATAGTTCAATAGTCCATAA